TGATTGCCCTGAACAGGAAACCACAGAACCTCCAGAATCAAAATTTGTTGTCTGCAGAAATGCATGAATATTTACATAAAGTATCCATTTATAGTATTCACAGGAGTTAAACTAAGCCCAATAAATAAAACAGAGAGCAACTTTCATCAGCGTTAACTATGTGACAGGCTTTCACTTTTAAAAGACCAGAAAACTAACCAAATAAATAAAATGTTCCAGTTTGGCAAATAAACTAGTTACACAACAGGGGTGAAAGAAAAACTGTGTGTTCATTTACCTGCGTGAGGATTTGTGGCGCCCCTCTTCTTTCTCTCTGTGCCGCCTCTCTCTGTGTCTTTCCTCTTTCTCCCGGCTTGCACGGTCACGGTGGCGTTCTGCGTAACCACGCTCTTGATAATCACGGTACCGATACCGCTCCTCGTCGCTGTAGAAGACGAAAAGGAGAATTTACTTCATTTACATATAAAACAACTCAGTCTCTGTTTAAAGCAGCGTCTTAACATCGATTGTTCACTTTTCTTTTATTACTCTTAATTTGCTCGCAGTAACATTTGTGATGAGTTTGACAACCGCGTGACGACTATATGTATGATCACTGATACACCAATACCCACGAACAGCTGAAAAGAAACTGCTCAAATTATTTGTTTATCCCTTTCTGTGGCTTTACAGATGCCATTCAAATCCCCCAGCAGCCCATTCACTACTCTGTTTTTGTCCCGCTGGTGTACCTGGTGTAGCTCATAGCTGAAGGGCTGTGCTCCCTCTCTCGTTCCCGCTCATGTGTCCTCTCTCTGGGTCTTTCTCTGTCCTTGTCTCTTTTGTCATCTCGGCGGGAATAATAGTCCCAAGGTTTGGAGTTATCTATCATCGGAGGCCAAGGAGGAGGCACACCTCCAACCATGGGGGGAGGGTAAGCACCTGAAAACAAATAAGAGGGAAAGCTGGAGTTCATTTAAATAAAAATATGTAACGACAAATGGTGATGGTGCAAATGTATGCATCAACATGCATTTTCGTAACGTTTGCCACATCTGTCACTGACAGCACCAGATTACATTGGTCTGTACCTTGAGGAAACGGATACGGAGGAACAGAGCGTCCATCATAACCTCCTGGATGGCTGCTTCGAAAACACACAGAAACG